AAATTCAAAAAACAAACAAACAAACATATTTTATCTGGAATTTACCAGGAATAAAAATTTATGGCTATTCAGAATATCAACTAGAGGTTTTAAACCCCTAGTAAATTTTATCTTTCAGGTAAAGTTTGTTTGTAGTTAAGCACAAAGATACACAATGAGCTCTCTGTGCTCTGTCTACCACGGTTATCAAAACCCGGTTTCTAGCGGTGTCAGTCCGCAGACATACCGCTGTGCCACTAGGGGGCTTCGGGTAAAAATTACTTTAAGATGTACTTTAATGGAAAGATGGATTCAAGGTAATTTTTTTTAACACAAATGGTTAACTTAAGCCAAAAATAATAATAAAATAAACACAGCAAAAGTAAGTTTTGTAATCTAAAAAACAAACAAACAAACTGGAACATTTTCCGTAATATCCTGTAATATTAACATTTACGTATCAGTAGGATGTCATCAACATTTAAAAACCTTTCAGTAATTATTATTTTTAATTAAATTCTTGTTTTGTTTATATGCACGTTATCGTGAGTTTGAGTTAAAGCGATAAAAATAATTACCGGTGTAGTGTACTTGATGGCCGATAGGTGGTGCGATAATTAATTTATTTGTACACCAGATTATCTGCCTCAATATATAACGCAAACGGAAGTTTACAGGATCATAAAATTAGTTAAGTTAGGATTTACGGATCTTGACAACCTACGCGTTTTCAGAATTATAAACTGAATACTTTCGGTTTTTATGTTATTTTTGTCAAAAATTCATAACACGATACCTTGCTGTTATTTTATGAAAAAAAAATATAGGAAGCGAAATATGTTTAGACACCACAACCATGCAGACTTACCTGACCTTTGACCTTTTCTGCTTCAAACAGCTGTGCTACTTGTTCGTCGGCAGCAGCATCTTCAGCATCATTATCCATATCTGGAAAACGTTATTGGCTGGTTACCAACTTTCTTCTAACAAAAGTTTACAATCAAGAGCCGGCCCATAGCTGAACCCCCACTTCGGTCTTCAAGGCCCATTCTTAGTTGGCTTTTACTTTAACCAGTTTCATGAGAAATCTTCCAGAAAAAATATTATTTTGTTTCGTGTAGAGACATATTAACTATGTTCAAGCCCTCCTCGTCCCACCTCCTACTAGCTCAGCGGTACGTCTGAGGGCTTATGCCCCCCCTCCCAAAAAAAACGGATTTCGATACTCGCGGTGGGCGGAACAAAGATAGCCCAATAAAATAAACAAAGAAACTGTGTGCAAAAATACTCGGAAGTTCAACATTTTATCTCCCCCCCCCTTAAATATTCCAGGGGAGGACCTTTTCCGTGTTCTATTTGGCAACACTTTAAACGACCTTTCCTTTGAAAATCCTGGCTTCGGCCTTGTTCAAGTTAAAGTAGAAATAAGTAACATTAATCTAAATATATTTGTTCACAGTTTTTAAACTTCCTGCTATGCTATAGATGCATTTTCCTTATTCATGAACAAAATCTTGATCTTGAAGTTATTAGTTGCGAAGTTTATTCCTTTATTTGTTTGTAATTAAGCACAAAGCTACACCACGATTCTAGCGTTGTAAATCCACAGACATACCGCTGTGTCACTGGGGGGCTAGGTCTATTCCTAAACCTGTAATTAAATATGAGATTCTAACGCTCACATTAAAGTTGGCGCCAAACGACAAATAAAGGCGGCTAAAATATGATTGAATTTGAACATACACAGAAATGGTGATAATTGCTGTACGAAAATAAAGATTATGCATGCGATCAATCTTTCGACGAAACGACTTTCTCAGATTCAAACTGAAAAACAAAAGAAAGCTCAAACTTGACGTTCCGGATAATTTGAGCTCCGTCTAACTTTCACTTTTACTCACGTGTTTTAATAATGCAGAATTTCTCATATCTGAGAATATAAAAAGGCATCAAACAAATAAGTCTAAATTAAATGTTACTTACAGTGAAAATTACAAAGCTCCGAGGACAAATTACACAGGCCTGCGATGGTTTTATTGTCATGAAATTTGTACACGTTCTACAGTAACTCCTGCACGTTGAATCCGAAAATAATATCCATTTTTCTCCATCACGTACCGATTTTTCACAAAACGTCGTAACGCAATACATAAAAGAAAGTTTGTTTGTTTTTTTAATTTCGCGCAAAGCTACACGAGGGCTATCTGCGCTGGCCGTCCCTAATTTAGCAGTGAAAGACTAGAGGGAAGGCAGCTAGTCATCACTACCCACTCTTTTACCAACGAATAGTGGGATTGACCGTCACCTTATAACGCCCCCACGGCTGAAAGGGCAAACATGTTTGGTGGGATGGGGATTCGAACCCACGACCCTCAGATTGCGAGTCGAGCGCCCTAACCACACAACACGTAGTTTTGAGACTAAAATACGTTGATTTCACAAAACGAAATTAGGATGAATAAGGATACATATTCGTTTGACATCAATATTCTTCCCTTTTCTTTAGTTTGTTTGTATTTTTGTTAACAAACATAATAATAAAAAACGTTCATTTTGGTAAACGAAATAATAATTTGATCTAAGTAAGAGTTTTTTTTTCTTCCCCATTTGTAAAAAAATAAAATCCTTACGTGATTGAAAAAATGAATATTATTTTCGAAATCTGCGTGGCTGAATTAGGGTAAACCCGTTATTAAAATCAAAACAACTTTTATGAAGTTAAAATTCGCAGGCCTGTGTAATTTACGGAAAAACTAACGATTTTACCGATGTCATAATCGACATCTTTTCCCGTCAGCTCTTTGACTCTTTCCCGGATGAGTCGGATACGTTCTCGGCGAAGCTCAATCGTCTTTGTCTTACACTCTTCCGTTAGTTGAGCTAAGTCTCTGGAGATGGTCGTGTTCAACACCTAGAAATGGAGAACCAAATATCCATGCGCTCAGAGCGTCCTCTGGTAGAGATAGACAACTTAGTAAGTTTTTCAGAACACAAACAAGAAATCTAAGTAAAACCGTGATGAATAAATAGCTCTAACTTCTAACGAGTAACAACCAAAAGTTAGCCACGTTCAAAATAAGCAGTTAAATCTCAACTTCAAAACTACCAAATTTCGTTACCACCTTATTTTTAAAAGTACGTAAATATACAAAATAATCCCCCATAAAAAAGTAACAACGATACTTAAAAACAGTAATAATTAGAATATATTTTTATCATTTCACAACTTTATGTACGAATACGTATTTGAAAGTATTTTTCGATGACACTTTTACAGTTTGAAAATTTGTAAATAATAGACAAAATATTAAACGATACTATTAACTACTTTGTAATATCAACTGCTTAACAGCAATTTTAATTTACCACGGACTAAAAGGGGAAGTAATGCCACTATTGGCTTTGGATATATTAAAATAATTCACACCTGTTCAAACCATTGACGTAGTGCACCTGATCGCCGGTAGGTGGTGTGGTAACATAACAAGGCATGCTCATGTCGGTCTGTCGTTTGCATATCCGTGAATATATACGTGATAGCCTGAAATCACAACAAAAAGAAAGATAGTTATAGTTTCATCTACAACTGAGCTGGTGATCATTTTTAAAATAAATCTAACTAACTGCACAGAGGTTCGAACCTATGTCATCGCAGCGCGCAAGAATCTTCAAAAAGATTAATGTGCTAAAAATTACGTCTTCAAATTTTATAGTAATTCTGTTTTTGATTAATAGAATTATTATTATTATTTTAGATTTTACAAAAAGAAAATGAAAAATAGTTTATGAAGTACCCCCCATGGAGGCTCAGTGATAAGATCGATGATTTTCAAAATTCGGGGTTGGATGCCCGCGGTGGGCATAGTGCAGATAGCCCATCGTGTAGTTTTGTGATTAACAACAACTAAACTTATGATGCATATAATATAACGGGAAAACTTATCCAAAATAGAAAAGTAACAACAAACAATTGAGCTAATTTAAATGTTTCTCGCCTTATTTGTGTGAGTTTGTTTCATTTATCTGCTTAATAATTTATAAATTGCCTACAGTTTTTTTTTCTTTTCTATTTACATTAATAACCTTTATTACCATATGAATCCTTCAGAAGATTTCACGATAAAAATTCGAAGCTTTTATATGGAGAATATCGGGCGTAAGATGTCGGGATGATGAATTTTAACACTAATCGTGTTTATAGTTCTGAACTTGAACGCAACTTGATTAATTATTAGGATGAAAAAAATAACTTTTAAACTTTTTGACCTTCTCCGTTTTGCAGTATTGTAGTCTACATTCTAGTAACTACCATAAAGTAATATAGTTTTAAGGATTTAAGGCTTTTATTTTATACACAATACCGTTCGGTGTTTGGAAAACAAAAAAACGTTCGATTGGTAAACGAACTGAACCGAGTAGCACTGAGTCCACTACAAGAAGTGGTTTCGGTCCGTCTGGTAAAGAACCGAGTTTGTTTCGCTTAGAAAACTTTAGTGTGAACATTGGAAAGTCTTGGTGACTGCTAACAAAACAGGGAAACTAACTAGCACATTCGTCAAAGCAAACAAACTAAGTGTGAATGATGCTTTAGTTTTCAACAAGTTATGGTTAAAAAATATATTAACATAATTAAAACAAAAATATTCTATAGGAGAGATAAAAATTACTGTAATTGTATTTCATTATATTACCCAATAAGCTAACCCTAACTATTTCAGGTCACCTGTACTGCAGAAACTCCTGTATTTCATTCTATTACCCAATGAACTAATAATAACTATTTCAAGTCACCTTTATTGCAGAAACTCCTGTATTTCATTCTATTACCCAATGAACAAATCCTAACTATTTCAGGTCACCTTTACTGCAGAAACTCCTGTATTTCATTCTATTACCCAATGAACTAATCCTAACTATTTCAGGTCACCTTTATTGCAGAAACTCCTGTATTTCATTCTATTACCCAATGAACTAATCCTAACTATTTCAGGTCACCTTTACTGCAGAAACTCCTGTATTTCATTCTATTACCCAATGAACTAATGATAACTATTTCAGGTCACCTTTACTGCAGAAACTCCTGTATTGTAGTCTATTACTCAATGAACTAACCCTAACTATTTCAGGTCACCTTTATTGTATAAACTCGTTAGATAACAGATATAAAAAACAATACAACATAGTAAACAGTGGAGAACGATTAGGTTATCACCTTATTCAGTGTTTCCACTTCTTCCTGGGTACAATAGGGGAAAACAACATTAGTTAGGTAGCGATGTGCTCCCTGGAGATTCTGAGTGGCAGCTACAAGATTGTTTCGAGTATCAGCAGCACAAGTATACTTCTGTTCAAGATCGCTAGCCAAAATAGAAATAAAAATATTATGTTTTTTTTCAGTGAACAATATCATATCCAGTTTTAGAATAACAGTCGAGTGAATGACTTTACAGTTATCACCCTTGTGATCCTCCTCTATTTGAATCTATATAAAAAAACACTTAAAGTTTGAACACACTGAAGGCAATATTTTGTTTGTTTGTTTTTAATTATGCACAAAGCTACACAAGGGCTATCCGTGCTCTGCCCACTACGGGTATCGAAACCCGGTTTCTAGCGTTGTAAAAAAGGCAATATAATTTGTTGATATTTTGTTTTAATAAACTCCTATTCTAGAATTAACGTTTCTTTCTAAAAGCTGTTGAGACAAACTGCAATCAACTGTTTGGCTGAGATTTATACTTATCACATCTCAGTGCTTCCTCAACAATTTTGTTCAGTTGTAAATAAACTCTTCCTGTATTACATTCTTTACATCAGGTTTTCCTGATTTTGGATGTTATCACTAGACATCAACTTTTTTAAAGCTTCCTGAGATTTCTTTTATCAAGTTTTCAGTTTAAGGAGTCTTAACCGTTCCTTTGAATCAAAGAATTCATTCTTCGCTCTTTCTATTTTCAGCTCAGTATGATAAAAAAAGAACCATCTCAAATCAGTGTTATGAGTACAATATCGTTAATTTTTAGGACTTTTACCCTTTTTTACAAGAATTTGAAAAAAAGACAAGCTAACGAACATTCCGGATTGTTGAGAATAAGAAATACTGTTTAAATAGAAGACGAGTTCACTTTTGTATTTGTAACAACCTTTAGATATCAGCTGGTCATGGTACGGCGTGTGTCATCTAACTCGAGCAAATATGTTTATATCAAAATCCGTAACATTTAGTGTACACAGTTTTCCTCAGATATAACAGATAAATTTTGTATTTTTTTTACATATATAATATAGAATTTACTGAAACAAACACAGAACTTTCTCTTAAAGTAGGAGAACGGTGGTCCCTCACTCTTGTGAGATGTCCGGTATTTCCTTCCATTTTTGAACGCCTAATCCTAGTTGGGTGGTAGCCTGTTTGACCATCATGTATGCTTGTCGCCACTTAAAGTGAGCCTGGTCCATGTGATGTTTCTGTTCTTGGAGAAGGTCCACTTCCTTCTCAAGTTGATTCTCCAAATCACTTCCATAATCGCCTCCAAATAAACTGTCTGAAAAAAGTTGAAAACATATCGAACTATGACACTAGACATCAACTATCTAATAGATGATAAAATGACATAATATCATAAACAGACTATTCGTGTGTTAAAAATGATATTACATCAATAAATGTCGCTAGCCTTATTTATTTAAACCTTTAATGAAAATAAATTACTTCAAATGGCCTAATCTATCGTACTTAAAAACACAGTTGTTTGATACAAGAATATGCCATATACAAAATTAAATATTACATTCATTGTTAGTTGTTTTTTTATTGTGCAGAACAGAAGCCATCAAAATATTAAGCTATGGTTTTCAGTTGTTAGCCATATGCAACAGTACAACATAACAAGTAAACCATCAAAAGATTAAGTTATGGTTTTCAGTTGTTAGCCATATGCAACAGTACAACATAACAAGTAAACCATCAAAAGATTAAGCTATGGTTTTCAGTTGTTAGCCATATGCAAGAGTATAACATAACAAGTAAACCATCAAAAGATTAGACTATGGTTTTCAGTTGTTAGCCATATGCAACAGTACAATATAACAAGTAAACCATCAAAAGATTAGATTATGGTTTTCAGTTGTTAGCCATATGCAACAGTACAACATAACAAGTAAACCATCAAAAGATTAAGCTATGGTTTTCAGTTGTTAGCCATATGCAACAGTACAACATAACAAGTAAACCATCAAAAGATTAGACTATGGTTTTCAGTTGTTAGCCATATGCAACAGTACAACATAACAAGTAAACCATCAAAAGATTAGGCTATGGTTTTCAGTTGTTAGCCATATGCAACAGTACAACATAACAAGTAAATCATCAAAAGATTAGGCTATGGTTTTTCAGTTGTTAGCCATCTGTAACAGTACAACATAACAAGTAAACCATCAAAAGATTAGACAATGGTTTTCAGTTGTTAGCCACCTGTAACAGTACAACATAACAAGTAAACCATCAAAAGATTAGGCTATGGTTTTCAGTTGTTAGCCATCTGTAACAGTACAACATAACAAGTAAACCATCAAAAGATTAGACTACGGTTTTCAGTTGTTAGCCATATGCAACAGTACAACATAACAAGTAAACCATCAAAAGATTAGGCTATGGTTTTCAGTTGTTAGCCATATGCAACAGTACAACATAACAAGTAAATCATCAAAAGATTAGGCTATGGTTTTCAGTTGTTAGCCATCTGTAACAGTACAACATAACAAGTAAACTGGACTACATCCTTTACTTCTTAGAAGGTTAAAGATTTTATACAATATTGCTTAGCCCTTATTGTGTGTGTATTAGGAATATGATACATAACAAACTTCCATTGTTCTGAAGATAAGTTTAGAAGAAGAAAAATAACGCAATGTCTTGAGTACCTAGTAGTTCGTCTCTTTCTTCATACAACTTTTGTACTTTTTCTCCTTCTTCTGCTAATGTGGTTATTTCCTCTTTTAAGGCATCACGTTGACGAGTTGTACTTTCCAGTTCCTGATTAATTATTTCCTAGCGGGGAAAATGAAAGGGTAACAAACGTGAACATTTTAAGTTTTGTCTTCTTGTACAACTCTTATTCAGATGATCATCACGTTTTATAACACACACACAGCCCTAAAGTGCGGAACACGTTTTTGTATCAACGCCACGCGAACCATGGACCCCCCTGATTCACAGTCCGGCACTATAAAACTAAGAGTTTCTCTTTTTGTTTTAACTTGTTTTGTTTTGACAGATATGCGGACAATGCGAATAACACGCAGTAACAGTCAGTTTAAGAATCTTAATATGGTGCTCAAAGTACTATCACTACATAACAAGCCTAGTTTGTAGCTAAACTTTGTCTACCAAAATATTTTAGCATGCTTTATTCTAAATACTATAAAAAATAACACACTTCCCGTGTGTTTAAATGTATACGTGGAATGCAACGGTGTATGATAACATTTTTCTTCTGTGAAAAATTTCATATACGAATGCAAACGTCACAACAACAAAAAAATGTTTTTATGATTTAAGTTTGTGAAACTAAGTTTGAAACAGTTGAAATGCATAGATAAATAATTTCAGGAGTTATACCATATACTTAGCGTGAGAGATAACTAATTAAATATTCTGTGTTAATGTTAACAGGTACTATATAAATATATTTTATCCACACTGAAGTGAACCGTTTGTTATTAAGCACAAAACTACACAATGGGTTATCTGTGCTCTCCCCACCACGGCTATCGAAACCCAGTTTCTAGTGTTGTTAGTCCCCAGACATACCGCTGTGCCACTG